CATCATGGTGCTGCTGACCGCCCTGACGGTGCGCCGCTCGGACCCGTCCTTCTCCACCTGCCACAGCGGCCAGGACCCCCTGGACTGGAAGGGTGAGTGTCCCCGCCCACGGGAGCCCCCGGACGCAGGCGAAGAGGGCAGGGCCTGGGCCTCCACCTGCGCCAGCCCTGGGAACCTCCCTCCACGGGCCCTTTTGCTGTCCATGGTGGGTGGCTGCTGGGCATCCACTGGGCAGGGGCAGGGTGGGGTCAGAGGGCAACAGGCAGAACCCAGCTCAGCATGGTGGGAGCAGCCCTGAGGCCCTTACAAAGCCCAACCTCTGCACCCTGTGTGAGTCGTTCTAACATGCGATCAGGAAGCCCTAGTCAGTGTGGTTCAATGGATAGAGCATTGGCCTGCGGACCGAAGGGCACAGTCTCCTCCCCGGCCCAGGCCCTGGCCAGGGTGCGTGCAGGAAGCAACCGATCGATGTGTTTCTCTCACATCGATGTTCCTCTCTGTCTTTCCCTCTCTCTTCCACTCTAAAAATCAATGGAAAAATATCCTCAGGTGAGGATTAAAATGATGTCAGGAAAAGAAAAAGAGATAAGAGAGAGAGGAGAGACAGACACAGAGGCAGACAGACAGAAAGACAGAGTGCAGATGGCACAGAGAGGTGGGGTGTTGCGCCCGGGCCCCTTGACCGTGCCAGCGACAGCATCTGTGACCACTCTTGGGGCAGGAGGACTGAGATGGGATCTGCCCCTGGTCACTGTGGTCGTGGTCAGTGGGGCCAGCTGGGCTCTGCTGGCTCCATGGCCAGGCCTCAGGCCGGCTGCTGTGTCCCCCCAGTGTCCATGTTGACGATGGCCGGCCTGTGCACCCTCCTGAGCTGCTGCCTGGTACTCCTCTTCCACACCCCCTACCGGCGCCTGCAGGCCGAGGCCCGCTCGAGCCCCTCCCTCCAGGACTTTGGGAGCCCGGCCGCGGACCATGCACCCCTCCAGCAGGCCCTCCCCCCGGCCCCGTTGGGGCACCCCCAGGGCCCCGGCAAGGACGCTGCAGGGGAGGCTCATTCCTAGGGCCTCCTTGGACATGCAGGGACTGAGAGGCAGCCTGGGGAGTGGAGGAGCCGGGAGAGGCGGCTGGGGCAGCCACACTGAGCCCGGGCAGGTCCTATAGGGGCACGAGGACTGCAGTGGGCATGGTGCAGGGGCAGCGTATGGGGACATGGCTCACGGGGAGCTGGACAGGTTGTGGGTCCTGAGGGCCCCAGAGGTCAGAGACTGGAGTGCACAGGGGTGGGGAGGGCCTTCCTTGAAGGAGCCCATCCCAGAGCCTCTCTCAGCCTCCATTACCAAGTGACCAGACACCCAGCCTCATGTTGACGGGGGTGGCTTGGGTGCCGACGGGGGTGGTTCGGTGCCAACAGGGGCCTGGGTGTAGGTGGGTGCCAACAGGGGCCTGGGTGCTGACGGGTAGGGGTGGCCTGGGTGCTGATGGGTGGTCCAGGCTGTTCTGGGGGCAGAACAGATAGAGGGTCCCACAGGCCGATGCCCCCCAGGCCCTCCGACCCCAGGTGGACACGTCCCCTCCCCACAGACACTTGCAGGCAGGTTGGTGGGTTCGGGTTTATTGAACTGGCCCCACGCAGTGGGGGTGGGGTGGGCACCCCTCACTCCTCCTTCTCCTCCCCATGGGTGAGCACATAGCTCAGTGCCTTGTAGTCCAGGTTGCCTGCAGCGTCGATCTTTGCAAATTGCAACATCTGGTCGACCTGCGGGCAGGGTGGCGGGTGTCAGGCCCTGCAGGAGGGCAGAGCAAGTGGGTCCCCAGGGGTGCAGCCCGAGGGTGACAGGCCCCCACCTCCAACCTGCTCTGGGCTTGTTTCTGTGCTTGTGGGGATGAGGGGGGCTGGGGCTCAGCCGCTGGGTGTCCCACCCACACCAACCCTCCAGCCTCTCAGGGCCAGGGCCCACCCCCAGCCAAGCCCTGGGGTCCCCGGGCCGTGGGGGAGGAGGGGTGGGGCCCAGGGCCAGACCTCCTCCGTAGTCATCTTGTCCGCCTGGGACATGAGCAGCCTCTTGATGCTGAGGACAAGGAGGGAGGCACCGGGTTAGGCTGCTCTGAAGAGAGTCAGCCCTGGCCGGTGTGGCTCATCGATAGAGCGTCAGCCTACGGACTGAAGGGTCCCGGGTTCAATTCCGGTCACGGGCACATGCTGGGGTTGTGGGCTCGATCCCCGTGCAGGAGGCAGCCCATCAATGATTCCCTCTCATCGTTGATGTTTCTCTCCCTTTCCCTTCCTCTCTGAAATCAATAAAAATATATTTTTTTAAAAAAGGGTCGGCACCGGACAGCTGAACAGTGAAGGGGCTGTGATGGGGGCAGGGAAGGGGCCATGGGAGGAAATGCCAGGCACCAGACCGGCCTGTTCCCAGTGCTCGGCCCAGGAGCCCCAGGCCCAGCGCCGGGGTGTGGGCAGGACTGGGTCACCCTCGGTTCCTTGGAGGACTCAGGACCTCGGGAAGCTGGGGGGGCGCGTGGTGCCCCCAGGCCCTGCGGCCACACTCACTAGTCCTTGTTGATGCTGCCTTTGCCCTCGGGGTCCAGCATCTTGAAGGCGTTCAGGATGGTCTCCTCGGCGTCCGTACCTGCCACGGAGACTCCGGTCCGGCTCCACCCCGGCCCCCCACTCTGCCCTCAGCCCCACGGCCCGGCTCCCAACAGCCTGGGGCACTGGCAGCTCCTGCCCTGGGGGCTCCTCCCTGG